CTGGGACCCCAGGGCTGGAGGAAGAATTGCAAGGGAGTCTCTCCAGAGCCAAGCAGAGGAGCAGAATCCCCTCCCTGGACCTGCTGCCCACACTGTGGGATCAGCCCAGGACACAGATGCTTTTCTGCCATTCCAGCCCTGGCAAAGCTCAGGGGTGATCCCTTCAGGGAGGTGATGGCCATGCAGCTCTGCTGGCAAGATCTGAGGATGAGGGGATCTCCTGAACCCCATCCTTCCCAAGTGTTTCTAGTTCCTGAGCTCAGGCAACGCCCTGTGTGTGCTGCAGAGCTGTCAGCACCCTGACACTGATCCTGCAGAGCTGCCACAGCCACAGAAGTCTGCTCAGCTCCCTGGATTAAGATAAACTGCCAAAACACCAGCCCAGCCTGGGCAGGGGTCTGGCTGTGACCAATGCTGTGTGGCCATGCGGGGGCTCGGCGTGGTGACCACGGAAGTGTCACTGGCATCCCTCCTGTGCCCCTGCCCCAGAGGGGTCACTGTGTGGGACATGTTGGCTTTGTACATTAGTGGATTTTCATTAAGCTTGTTTTACACTCCAGTGGTGGTTTTGGTGTGGTTTATTTCTCCAGGAATTCGGGGAAGCCACAGGGCTCTACTCTGAGGAATCTGAGGAATCTGAGGCCATCTCTGATCAAAAGGATGCAGAAAGTGCCTTTCAAGGACTGCAGTGGTTGCCTCAGTGCCCTGTGCTGTTAATGCCAAGGGTGTGGGTTCAATCCTCATATGGACTGTTCACTTCAGAGATGGATTCAGTGATCTTTGTGGATCCTTTCCAACTCAGAATTTTCTGTGAAATCTGTGCAATCAAATGACATTGAGGCTTAAGGGATTCAGTCAGGAGCAGTGTTTCCATCAGCTGTGGAATGAAGGAAGGTCTGTTTGTTTTTTGCACTTTCGGGACACACCTACCCCTGGAGACCCCATCGGGATAAATCCACCTCTGTTCACACCTTCATGGTGACATCACAGGGTGAGAGTGGGGACTCTCCATATCTGATCTCCTCTGTGTGTCACAGGGCACAGTCAGCTGCCTGGGCATCGTGTCAGAATCCAGCTGAAGCTGTTCATGCTGACTGAACCTGGGAAAGTCACTCTGAGTCTGGCTGGCTCCTCTAAAGTGGTTTCAAGCTCATACATCCAGTGCCAGCCCATCCCTGATTCACAGGACTGGAAGCCTCTCTGTGCACTCCAGGCCCTCACCTGGCATAAATGGTGTGACAAAGGACTGTGTTTTGTGGCACTGCAGAGTGCTGTGCTCTGTTAGCCAAAAGTCCAGGAGAGGAATTGTTTCCATCTGCTCAGCAGTCTCAGGGCCACACCTGGGCTCCTGCATCCTCTGGGGCTCCCAGTATCCCCCTCATGGACAAACTGGAGCAGGTCCAGCAGGACAGTGAGGTTAGCCTGAGGCTGGGGCTAGAGCATGAGAGATGAGGGCAGCTGAGAGCTGGGTCTGGTCAGCCCAGAGAGGAGGAGGGTTGAGGGGCATCAAGGGGGAGAAGGGTGGCAACATCCACAAGGTACAACCAGCAAAATCCCAGTGGAGTGTGAGGGAAAGTTTCTGCCCCAAAGAGCAAGGCAGCTGGGGGCTGCTGCTCAGAGAGCCTGTGGGAGCCCCATCCATGGGGATCAGATTCACTAGGTCTCATCTGGACATAGGCCTGAGCAAAATGATCTGATTTTGAAATTACTCTGCCAGCCCGTGGGACCAGAAACATCCAGAGGTCACTTCTGACCCAGGCCTTCCTGTGATTTCATTGCTGTGCACTCCCCTGGTGTCTGTGATAAGAGCAGCAGTTACTGAGGACATGCAGTGGGGAGGTTCCTGCTCCTCTGGAGCCACTCCCTTGCCCCAGGTACAGGAAAGGCGCTGAGGTTGCTGTAGTCATTCATCTCACCTGCCTCCTCCCACCATGCAGCACATTTGCCTCATTAAGCTCCTTAGATGAGCCCCACCTTGTCCATTTGAGTCTTCTGCTGAGCCAAACAAGAGCAGGTTCACCAGGTGCCAGCAGCACATGAGTCACACATGTCCTGCTGTACCTGTTGTCTTGTACATGTCCCTCAGGAGAGGCAGGAGATGCCTTGGAGAAGTCCTGTACTCCCAGGCTGAGCTGCAGTGCATGGAACTGGAAGAACATCCCAGAGACCTCACTCCTACCAGGAGGAACCTGGAGCTGAGGAGCTTCTCCATCTGCAAGGCCACTGAACCTGTGCCTGAGTCATGGGATGCTGCCACATCCCGGTGTTGTGGTGGGACAGCTCTGGCTGTACGTGGCCCCTGTCCTGGAAAAGCCCAGCGTGTAAATGTGGGATCAGTTCCCAGAGCAGGTGGCAGAGACACCACGGGCTGCGTGCTTCCCTCAGTCCAGTGCCATCCCTGCCACAGGGCATCCGCAGCACGGCCACATCTTCCTTCTAAGCCTGGTCTCCAGAGACAGAGATGTTTGTCTTGAAAATTGCAGATGTCCTACAGAATCTGTTTCAACAAGGAAGCAGTGAGCTCTGGCAAGAGCTGACAGGCTCCAGAAACATTACCTGTGTTTTATCTTCACGCTAGCGTGAGAAACTCTGCCCAGGAGATTGGAAAGATGTGGCCTGAAGGAGTGAGATGGGGATGTCAGAGTGGGAGGGGACCCGTGCCATGGAGTGAGGGGAGGGCTGAGGTGACACAGAGGGTTTCAGACTGTTGGGTAATGTGGCTTTCCTTAAGCAGAAATGGGTGGAAGGATTGGCCTCAGGATCTTTTGGAATCATGGCATGGTTTGGCTTGGAAGGGCCTTTAAAGATTATCTCGTCCCATCCCTGCCATGAGCAGGGACACCTTCCACCAGACCAGGTTGCTCCAAGCCCCATCCATCCTTGCCTGGGACACTTCAGGGATGGAAGGTCTCGGCTGTCCTTCTAGTTTTGTTCTCCTGGACAAAACTGGAGCTCAACACACTGCTGAGGCTAATCCACATCACACCTTCCTTCAGGAGTGGGGAAACCCAGGCAGGGGAAGGAAAATGGTGCAGCAGTGTGGTGGCAGGTCTTGTGTTACCCAAACCGAGCCCCTTGGCACCCAGACATTGAGCATCCTGGGAACTGCGGTGCTCTGAGTCAGAAAAGCAGCAGTGAAGAGGTAGACGGTGGACCAGAAAAATGTCTTTTGTTGGTGTGTTGGAGAGGAGTTGCTCAGTGGTAATTTATTGTGATGCGCAGGAACATGCTGGGGCCATGCTTGTCCAAGCACCGTGGTCCTGCCACTGCAGCCCCAGCTGGCACAGCTCCTGTCACTGCCCCTGATGCCAAGGGGAGCCAGGCTGGAGCTGGGTGAGAGGTGCCTTCCCTCCGGGTGCTGCTTCTCCAGGCTGTTTCTCAGAGTTGCCAAATGAGTTCTTCCATGAAATATTTTAAGGGTTGGACTTGGGAAAAGCCCATCTGAGTGCAAACCTCTCTGCATCCATTTGGCCTGGCATGCAAGTGATGGGAAAGCTTTCATGCTACCACTCTGCAGTCCTCTCCCACCCCTGAGGCTTCCCCTGTGCCCTGAAGCTGCTGCAGTGGTGAGCCTGTGCTGGCAGCTGTGCCAGGACGAACGCTCGCTGCAGCTCGAGCTCTCGAGGGCTGGGCTGGCACTAGGGGCGGTCTGGGGCAGCCCTGCACTGAGGTGGATGTGCTGGCAGTACCAGCAGCAGGCTGGGCACGGGGAGAGCTCATCTCACCACTCTGGGATGCAGGAGATTAGGCAGCGCAGGCAGCCGTGGGTGTCCGCCCTGCAGGACGGGTGGAGGTGTCATCTGCTCTGCTGTCAGCACCTAGAATCAGAGAATATCCCTACTTGGAATGGACCCACAGGGATCATCGTGTCCCACTCCTGGCCCTGCACAGACACCCCAACAATCCCACCCTGGGCATCCCTGGGAGTGGTGTCCAAACGCTCCTGGAGCTCTGGCAGCGTCGGGGTTAGGACCATTCCCTGGGGAATGCACCCTCTGGGGGAAGAACCATTCCCTGATATCCAGCCTAACCCTCCCTGACAGAGCTCCAGCCGTTCCGTGGGTGCTGTCCCTGCTTACAGAGCAGAGACGGGAGCTCCCCTCAGGAGAAGCCGCAGGCTCCGATGAGTTCCCTGACGCGCAGGACTGGGAGCGGCCCGGGCTCTTGGCTCCCCTGCCCCACTCCCCAGCACGCCGGGCCAGAGCCGCTCAGGGTTTCCCGGCGAGGCGGCAGCTCCAGCTCTGGTCCCTGCCCCGTGGGCTTGTCAGCACAGCTCCCTGGGCAGCCTTCCCGGGGCGCGGCCCGGCCGGGCCCGCGCGGTGCCCGCCTGGCCAGGAGTCCGGCCGTGGCCGTGGCCGTGGCCGTGGCTCTGACCGTGGCCGTGGCCGTAGCTGAAGCCGTGGCCGTGGCTCTGACCGTGGCCGTGGCCGTGGCCGTGGCCGTGGCAGTGGCCCGGCTGTCTGTGCTCGCTGCGAGGAGCGGGGGCCGGCGCGGGCGGCTCTCCATTGTCAGCGTGTCAGGTCAGCTTTGTGTTGCCTGCTCAGGCTGCTGGATGCGCCTCCCGTGATTGGCATGTGCAGCTTGCAGCCCCAGCCTGCCTGAGCCTCGGGAAGCTGCTCTATGCAAATGGAAAAGTAAAAACCACCCATTTCCCCATGGTGGGCAGGGAGGAGTGCATGGTGTGGGGCTGGTGGGGCTTTTTGTGGTGGAACAGTGCTGTCCTTGTTCCAACTGTGGGCTCCTTTTGCCAGTTTCCTGCTTGAGGCATTGTCCTACATGTTTTCTAACTACCTATTCAGCAGAACCATTTTTTTTCTCCCCTCACTGCTCTATACAAACAGCAAAAATCAGGATCTCCTGACCTCTGCACAGCTCTCCCAGTGCAGGAGGTGAATTCCAAAGCTCCGAACAACAATAACCCTCCTGCCCACCTCCTGCCAGGGTGAGGGTCCTGCCTGTGCAGGTGTCTGACTGTCTGTCCCCCCCCCTCTCTCTTCCAGCCCCTTCTGCCGTGTCCATCATGCACCAGGTGAGCCGCACCGTGGACAGCATCACCCTCTCCTGGTCCCAGCCCGACCAGCCCAATGGAGTCATCCTGGACTATGAGCTGCAGTACTACGAGAAGGTACTGAGGGACCTTCACGGGGGTCACCCACAGCTTCTGGGGACAGGAGGGGTGCAGAGCTTCACTTAAGGGTGTACAGTGATTGTTCAGTAGGAGACTTGCTGCATTTGGTCATGTGGATGACAGTGGCCATCAATCCTTGGGGTCCAGTGATGGTTCCAGTGGCCTAAGTGTAGAAAATCCACTGGTCATTCAGAAGCTTCTCCTGTCACCTCCACAGAACTGGTGGACCCATTGCAGGGAGAGCAGTGTAGCCAAGGTCCAGGGTCTATTTTTCCTTTTTGTGTACTGTGGCATCAGCAGGAAGTGGAATGACAGGGAACATCCAGTCCCCAGCTGGAGCACACTCAGTGCATGTCCAGTCCTGGAGATTTTCTGGAGTGCTTCCCATGTGTGCATCTACACCAAAGGTGAGTTTGGCATCTCTTCAGCATCCCATCCAACACCCAGATGTTGTACAGGGAGATGTCTCATGCTCCCATGGAGAGTCCATGCTGCACTATGGAGTCAGTGTGAAGGGGTCCTTCATCTCTGGCTCTTTCATCCCTGAAGAACCTGCTCCTTCCATAACCTCCCTGTCCAGACAGACAGAGAGATTTCATCTGGACTGTGCCAGGGTGTCCATCCCACCAGTGTCTGCTCACAGAGTTGAGGACCACGTGGAGGTTGGTCCCAGGACCTGCCAGGCTGAACTTCATCTGTGCAGCCGAGGGGAGATGGGGAGCAGGAGACTTCTCCTTCCAGGAATCTGCTCCCTTGCACAAGAGCTTATAAACTATACATTATAAATTGCAAACTAACTAATTAAAAAGCTTTATGATTAAATGGAACTGAAAATATTTTTCCCAGCAGTTGCCGGAAGAAATGATTAATCCCCCCCCACTGCCTGCCTGTGACCTATTTTCTCATCACCAAGAGCCAGAGGGAGAATGGGGAGGAGGGGGGGCTCCTTTGTAAGCTGTTAAATAGGTCCTGACCTATATTGCATAAATCACAGCCATTTATTTTGACCCTTGGAAATTATCCCAGAATGGATGGCAAGATGGCTGAGTAGATAACAAGACAGATCTGGGAAGCAAGAGGGGTCCTTTCCCTGGGGACCCTCAATGTAGAGGCAGAAGATCTCAGGGAGTATATTCTCCTCCTCTTACTTTATCTTAGTCTCTCACCCTCTTTCTTTCTTCCCTCTCTTCTGTTTTCTGAGGGAGGCTGTAAATAAAGGGAATTTTTGTCTAAAATACGGTGCTCCTGTGGGCGGCCAGCCTTCGCCTGTCCCATTGTCTGAGTTAGGGCACAGCATGTTCCTGATGATGGGGACAGGTGGCCCCACTCTCAGGCAGTGCTGTTCATGGGGCACACTAAGCCCGGCACAGAGGGCAGAGCTGGGCTGAGATTGTCCCTGTCCTGGTATTTCAGAGAACCATGGAAGCATCCCAAAATGGTTTGAATTGGAAGGGACATTAAAGATCATCCAGTGCCACCCTTTGCGATGGGCAGGGACACCTTCCGCTAGTCCAGGTTGCTAAAAGCCCCTCCAGCCTGGCCTTGGACACTGACAGGGATCCAGGGGCAGCCACAGCTTCTCTGGGCACCCTGTGCCAGGGCTTTGGCTCTGCCATGCTCTTCCCCTGCTTCCCATCAATCCAGCAGTTGGACATGGTGTGTGACACATCCCAGGTGTGTTCTCACTCCACTGCCAGTCTGTGCAGAGGTGATTTCCTTCCAAATACTTCATTACAAACTGTCCCATGTGCTTGTGAGTGCTCAGCAAAGATCTCTGGATTTGGTCACGTGGTTAAGTTTTTTTCTGGTGGAATTTTTTTCCCCTCAGTAGAAAATTATATTTTATTTTCACAAAAACAGCTCAAATGAAGAATAGCACCATACACATTGTGTATAAAAAGCACCTTGACTCTTCATTTTTAATAGATTCTCTTCTATATACAGACATTAAATAAAAAAATAGAAGAATTTACTTTAGTGTTGACAGAAAAGCACTGTTCACAATACCTGAAACCAAGGTGTATTTTTGTTTCCCTTTCACAGATTATTTATAACACTGCTATTCTTAGATGCCATTAAAAATGCCTGTACAAAGGCAACATTATGAGTTTCTTTCACGTGGAGTTGGAGCAAATCCACGCAGATTGTTGCACAAACACTGCCTGATGTGGCTGCTCTCTCTGGCCCTCGCCTTAATGTGTTTTCTTTTTTTCCACTTCCAAGAGGTACCTGCCAGTGTTTGTCTTATTAAAAAAGTCTGTGTTGTCTTAATTTAGAAAGGGCGTAGCAGTTTTTATCTAAAGTTGCCAAACTCCTCCTGGAGTGTGGGAAATGGAGATCCACTGCAGTGTCAGACACAGCAGAGTAATTAGCCCTCCTCATTATGCAAAATGATTGGGTTTGATGATGCTCAAAGTCACCCATTTTGTAATTGTTTGAAGACAGTCAGCCCAGTTTGGTTACCAGTGCAAGATTTTAGGAGGCAAAAGAGCCCTTTGATGTCTCCAGCCATTGCTGGAGTAGGGACATGGGCTGGCTGGGGGATGAAGGCTCGGGGAGAGGACCTGTGAAGGTGGATATGGAAGTGGAGGTAGAAGGAGAGCTCTCCTGGTGCCCAGGAGCTTCTGGCCAGAGCCCAGGGCATCCCCAGGGCTTGGACCAAGGACACTGGAGGTGCTGCTCCCAGGCTAACTCAGGGGACATCCCTGCCCATGTCAGGGGGTTGGAAAGAGATGGTCTTAAAGGTCTCTCCCAACCAAAACCATTGTGGGGTTCCATGATTCTCTGACTTTTTGGAGTCTCTCCTGCAGTGTCCTCAGAATCCCTGAGCCTGGAGCCAAAGCTGCTGCCTGGTGTTTCTCATCTGTCGTGAGGTGGGGCTGCCCCTTCACCCAGTGCTGCCCAAATCCTTGGAGGGGTCTCTGTCCCAAGAAAACTGGCAGTTCAAGGACCTGGAGAGGAAACCCTGCCAGAGAGCCCTGGGATAGCCTACCTGCAGTCCCAGTCCCTGCCCAGGGCCACACTGGGACTGGGCACTGTCCAGGACTCAGTGGGTTTGGGAGAGGCATTCAAACACTCAGAGAATGGTTAAAGTTGGAGAAGTCCTCCAAGATCAATTTGAAGCCATTTCTCCTTGTCCCACTTGATGGGATACCTGGCTGAGGCACAAATCTTCTTGGTCTGTCCCCACAAGTGGTGGATCCCTATGAGAGTCCAGGTGCTGTGGATGCCACGGATGCAGCCCCAGTGTGGCTGGCAGGACCCTGCTCCCACACATGGGCATCCCGAAATGCAGCTGTGTGATGGTTTGGCGCCCGGCCCTGGCGTGGCTGTGTCCTGCTGTGTTTGCCCCCAGGGCCATGGCAGATGTCACTGTGCAGGCTCATAGGAACTCTGCCAAATGTAGTCACTTGACTTTTTTTTTTTTTTTATTTTTCACTTTCAATTTTCTTTTTTTTGAATGCGACTTTTTAGAAGCAATTTTTGTAAATCCTTTGGGTGTCTCGCAGCCTACCCATGTTTCAAGAGACTCTTTCTTTGTTGATCAGACTTTGGTTTCAGCTTCAGTTTTACTCTTGGGAGGGGGAACCAGACGAGGACTCAAAATCTAACCAGTGTGTTATTTTGAATTAGGATTTCCAAACTCAAAAGAAAATCATCAGGGAAAAATAACCCAAATACCACAAACCTCTACTTGGACTTGGGCTTTAAACCACCTGGGATGCACTTGGCCTGCTGGAGAAGCCCAGAGGTGCAAGGGGAGAAGTGTTTGAGGTGAACGTGCAGGTTCTGGAGAGGTGATGCCAAGGAGAAGGAATAGGTTTGATAAGGGAGGGTGGAGAGGTGTAAATGGTTTACCTTGTGGTTTGGGTTTAGAGAAGAGCACATCACAAGCACACCTTCCTCAGCCAGGCAGACATCAGTTTCCCAGGCTATCAACCACCTTGCAGGCTTGGCCATTACATTCCATTTAAAGTCCTCCAGGAGCAGGGATGAGGTTCTCCAAAAGAGTTGGACAAATTATTTTAAGACAGCTGTGTTGTTAGTGCCCTCCAAGGGCCTGGGAGGATTCATCCAAGCCCTTGAGCTCTAAAACTGTAAACATTTTCTGACCTATTTCTCTCCTTGCCTGCCTGGGAAAGGTCCAAGGGAATGCTGAGGCCTGATCAGACAAATGAGGCCATGAGTTTTCTGTGTGCTCATCTTTCCGTGGTGTGTGTGTATCTGTACTGGAGCTTTTCACTGTCATCAGTCTAATTACCGGAGACCCCAGTGACAATCAGGAACCTTCAGCACCAAGTCCAGATGCATAAAACAGATATTGTAGTTTTTAGAAGGGAAAAGTGTTCCTGAACAGTGTTAATAGTGGAGGTCTCCCAGGTCTTCCACAGAATCATAGGATGGTTTGGGTTGGAAGTGACCTTAAAGCTCATCCCATTCCATCCCCTGCCATGGGCAGGGACACCTTCCATAGCCCAGGGTGCTCCAAACCCCATCCAGCCTGGCCTTGGACACTGACAGGGACCCAGGGGCAGCCACAGCTTCTCTGGGCACCCTGTGCCAGGGCCTCATCACAGAGAAATTTCTCCCCTATATCTCATCTAGCCCTGCTCTCTTTCAGTCTAAAGCCATTCTCCCTTGTCATATTCCTCCATGCTCCTACATGTAACACAGAGCTCCCCTGCACTCCCTGCAGAGGGATGTGCCATCAGTGTCTCCACTCCTTGGGTTTGGCCACGTACTTGAAGAAACACATTCCTGCCAGGCCCCTCTCTTACCACCAACCACACCAGAGCTTGAGACACAAAATTAACTCCATTCAAGGCCAGGTTGGATGGTGTGCAGAGGCCCTGGCACAGGCTGCACAGAGAAGCTGCGGCTGCCTCATCCCTGGAAGCGTCCAAGGCCAGACTGAACACTTGGTCTAGTGGAAGGTGGTCCTGCCTGTGGCAGGGGGTGGAACTGGATGAGCTTTAAGGTCCCCTTCCAACTGAAACTGTTCCATGATTCTATGACCACGAGATCCCTGACAGGAAGGTACAGCCAGGTGGGTGGGGGTGTCAGTCAGTCTCTTCTTCCAGGGAAAAAGCAATAGGACAAGAGGGCATAGTCTCAAGCTGTGCCAGGGCAGGTTCAGGTTGGACAGCTGGAAGAATTTCTTCATGGAAAGGGTGCTCAGACATTAGAAGGGGCTGCCCAAAGAGGTGGTGGAGTCCCCACCCCAGAGGTGTTCAGGAAATACTGGACATGGCACTCAGTGCTCTGGGCTGGTGACAGGTGGGGATCAGTCAAAGGTTGGACTTGATGATTTTGAAGGAATTTTCTGACCTTAATTGTCCATCAGCATTCTACTGTAGAAGTTGGTAAAGAGGTGCTTTCTTTTTCCTGGGAGTTTCACTCTGACCTCTTGTTCCCATGGGAAAAGCAGAAATGTCTCCATGCATCCATCTCCATGTCATTTTAGAGCTGGGGCAGAGGTCAGTCCCTTGGTCACATCCTCAGGCACGCTTACAGAGTTCCCCAAACCTCATGTCTCATTTTCTACTGGTCCCTGCCAGAGTGTCATGAGGTGATCCCTCCTCACTGAGGGTGCAGGGGCCATCCTGTGCAGTGACTTGAAGTCAGGGACTCACTGGGGACTTGCCAGCTCAGATTTTGAGCAACTGCTCCTCTCTTCCATCTGGTGATCTGCCAGGGCAGCCTGACCTGGCAGACCCAAGGTACAGCCAGGATGGATGAGCATCTTCAGTGTCACTGATTCCAAAATCTGTGCCTGCACCTCCTTTTTTCAGGTGCTTGCTCACAGCTGGGCTTTCCTAACAGCTCTTTGTTTTCCAGAAACATTGTGCTCTTGGCATTGCTATTTTGCTCTAACTTTTGGGACTTCATGGCAGCCAGGCTCCTGGCCACCTTTCTCTGGTGACATTCAGGACCCTCTGTCATTGTCCTCTGTTGACTCCATGTCCCTGGGAGACAGGGACTACCTGTTCTTTTGTATATGGAAATCCTGCCCATCCACCAGTGCTTCTGGATGAAGGGCACAGTTCCTAAGGGCATAGATGGAACCATCACCTACACAATTGTAAAGCCATCTGCACCACTGTGTGAATGCTCCAGTCCTCAGCTACAAAACTGCAGACAAGGGGCAGAACAAAAGTCTGGAAATAGTCTCACTGTCACTTTGAAATATGCTCTTGGGGTCCCCAGCCTTAGAAACTTGGCCTTGGCCCCTGGAGAAGCAGGCTCTGGGCAATGGGGTGGAAGCAGAATTTCTGAGGTCCAAAACCCAGTGTTCAGGTGGGCTTTACCTCCTGGAAAAGGGAGATGGGAGTTGGGGAAGAGCAAATGGACTGTGCTGAGGCTGGCTAAGGCACAGCTGGAGGGGATGGGGGAGGAGGAAAGTGCTAAGAAAAAGGCACAGAAGAGGGAAGAAATTCCCATCTCCATTGACCTCACGGCTTAGAGAAGCAACATGAGTTTTGTAGCTACTGCCTTCTTTAGAGCCTTTCCTGAGAGGTGGTGAATAGCCCAGGGATATCCATACTCACATCCCTGAGTCTGTGTCTCCCTGCCAGGAGACTTTGTTCAGACTCTTTGTTCAGACCTCGGTGGTATGTCCACCCTGGTCTCCTGCCCTTCCTCCTTCCAGAAGTACAGTGCCTGATTCTGGACTGTTTTTTTCTGATGGCAGATTTGTTTTTTCTTGGCAGGATCTGAGTGAGTTGAACTCGACCACAGTGAAGAGCCCCACCAACACTGTGGCAGTGCAGAACCTCAAGGCTGGCACCATCTACGTGTTCCAGGTGCGGGCACGCACCGTGGCCGGCTACGGCCGCTACAGTGGGAAGATGTATTTCCAGACCATGACTGAAGGTGAGTCTGCAGCTGCTCTGTAAGGGTGACTCAGGGTCTTGAGAGATGTGGAGAAAAACAAGCAGCTGGTCCCCTTGCTATCAGTCCCTTCAAGGGTGTGTTGAGAAATCACATTCAAGACCCGGAGAGAGGCCTGGGTGCTTGTTCCATGCAGGGAAGACCCCAGTTTCTGCCCAGCTTTTCTGTTGTGGGGATGTGTCTGCTCAGCTGGATGTAAAAGACGCAAAATTTGTGTTTGCTACCTGCACAGTTGATGATGACAAGCACAGAGCCATGTCTTACTTTTCTAAATTTGTGCTGCTAAATAAAACAGACCAGTTTTCTGGCCCTGTGGCCAAGGACAAGGCACAGCACACATCCACAAAACTAAATCTTCCTCCCAAAAGGAATAGCTCTATCCAACCTTCCTTCTGGGACACATCCCCCAGCCAGAGGGAAGTCCTGACTGTCCAAGACCAAAGCCATGCCAGGGATCAAACATGGCCCATGCTCAGGGCTGTCCTCTGACTTCAATGACCTCGTGAGGGACGGTGCAGCCCCTGCCACAGTAACCTGTTCCCTTTTCCCCGTGTCCCAGCCGAGTACCAGACCAGCGTGCAGGAGAAGCTGCCGCTCATCATCGGCTCCTCGGCGGCAGGGCTGGTGTTCCTCATCGCCGTGGTGGTCATCGGCATCGTGTGCAACAGGTAGGGCAGGCTTAGACGGCCCAGGGCTGGGCAGGGCGCGGGCACTGGGGACAGGGGATGGCACGGAGGGGACACAGGTGCCCTCACGGCGCAGCCCCGGCCCTGAGGGGCCCATGCTGTGCTCAGGTCTCCCTTCCCTTCCAGAAGACGGGGCTTCGAGCGGGCTGACTCGGAGTACACGGACAAGCTGCAGCACTACACCAGTGGCCACAGTACGTACCGGGGGCCCCCCCCAGCCCTGGGGGGCCGCTCGCTGCTCGGTTCGTGCTCCTGTTCACTCGGGGCTTGCAGGGAGGGCTCTGGGCAGGGTGTGCATGTGTGTGTGGGCAGGGCAGTTCCAGATCCCTCCTGCCCTTGATCCCTGCCCTGCTCTCAGCCCTGCGTGCTGTCAGGTGCCTGAGCATGTCCTCCAGACTTCTGTGACAACCAACACCCCCTGAAGCATCACCATCTTCTGTGCTGCAGCGTCTGCCACCACACCATGTCTTGCTCCTCCAGCTCCTGAGCTTTGCCCATCTGCTGGACAGCAGTGAGACTCCTTCCCTGACCTGTCCCTGTCCTGCAGAGTGTTGTCCCCTGCAGGCACCCACAGACCTTTGCCAGAGCCCATCCCAGTGCTCCCAGATTCCCAGCAGATATGAGATATATCTATATATAGGTATATAATACAATACCTAGCACACCCTCTCTTGTAGCCTCCCTCTTTCAACATCCCTGTGCAAGGCACTCCTACATCCAGCATTCCTGCTCAGCCTCACTGCATGCCCTGCCTCACCCCAGTGCATCATTCTTCCCCCATTCCTGAAAATGTCCAGGGCCAGGTTGCAAAGGGCTTGGAGCAACCTGGGATAATGGCAGGTGTCTCTGCCCATGGCAGGGGATGGAATGAGATGAGGTCATTTAAGATTCTTTTCAACCCAAGTCATACCATGATTCTTTGATTAACCTTCTTCATATCCCTCAAATTCCTTTCTCCCCCTTCACTAGAGACCTGTTGTTCTAATCTTGCTTTATTCCAGTCTCAGTTGTGATTTTCCTCATGTTCTACTTGCAGCTTCAGGATTTCTGCCCTTTTAATACCTTATTCCTGTACAAATCCAGGCCTTGCTCAGAGCATGGAAAACACCAGTAGTGTTTCCACTCAGGACTCACTGTTGCTCCTGCTTTACCTGGGAAAAATGTCCGAAAAGGCAGAGCTGCAGCCCTGTGCCCCAGCAGCCTGTGCTGGCTGCCTTGCTATCACTTACCAGGAAAAATGACACTTTTCAGGAGACATTATGTAAATGCAGCTCTCAGTTGTTTGTCAGTCTGGGCTGCAAACACACATTCACACGTTCTCCCGGGGCCTGGTGTGGGATGTGACAGCTCCAGGCTGGGATGGGTTTAATCACTGTGCTTGCACCACTTGGAACAGGCCTGGTGCCACAGGATGCAGCTGAGCTGATACAGCCTGGGTGCCTTTTAGCCCCTTCCTCACCCAACACACCTGGCCAGGGCTCAGTCCCTGCTCAGTCCCCAGCAGTGGTTGCTGTGCAGACACTGCAGCAAATTGCCAAGGCCCAGGGAGCCTGTGAGCCCTGCAGACCCCCCTGAATACAACCAGCATCCTGGAGCTGGGAGTCAGTCTGGTGTTGTGTGGGGCTCCTTATGTACAGAGCTGTGAGCTCTGCTCTCCAAATAGCCCATTTTGGAGTGAGCCAGGGGCCAGAAAAGTACAGAAGTGGGAGAAGCACAGGTGAGGGTTGTCCCACAGTGCAGGTCGCTGGGATGTGGCATCAGCAGTCCAGGCTCACCAGGTCCCTTGGCCACTGCCTTTCCCATGACATGTCACTGTCCCCTGCTCGGCCTAGCAAGAGGAACCTGTCTTTTGTGATTTTTCCTAATGTGCCCACTACTTCTCTTGGGGTCCCAAGAGGGAACCCAGCCTTGGGCAGGAGTGCCAGTCAGGAGAGCAGGGCAGACTGGACTGTCATTCTTGCTTGCACAGCTCCTGGAAGGGTCAGAGATCCCCCATGGAGGAGTCTGCAGTTTCTAGTCCAGGCTCACAATGTAGCTCCCTACTGCCCTAACAATGACCTGTGGGCCAGTGTTCATTAAAATCAGTTTTAACAGTCTTGTGGAACATGGCTCTGCATGTTCTTTCTCAAACTGTTTCTCTCTGTCTGCTTTGAGCACTGATTATGCAACTTGCTGAGGTAAAAAGACCATCACTCAAAACGTTTTCTCTTTTGCTTGATGCCAACCATTCCAGTTGCATCCATCTGTCTGACTCTCTCCCTCACCTTTGCACAGTGACTCCAGGGATGAAGATTTATATCGATCCTTTCACCTACGAAGATCCCAATGAGGCTGTCAGGGAATTTGCGAAAGAAATCGATATCTCTTGTGTCAAAATTGAGCAGGTGATTGGGGCAGGTAGGTGACCTGGGAGTGGCTGACTAGCCCTCAGCAGCACAGGCTCCTTCACAGTGCCAGGATTTGGGAGGATTTAGCCTGATGCCACTAGGACTGATGCCTCTAAGATCTTAATTATCCCCAGGCTGGACTAGAAGGAGCGGGGGAGTCCAATGCAGGAGAAGCAAGACCATCAGTTCCTATGTGCATATAATCCCACTTGCAGTGCTCCTCAGCTGGGGGGTTGGAGTGGGAGGGAACACGGGTCAGGGTGTGGGTGCTCAGCTCAGGGACAGGCAGGGCGGGCACAGCTGGGGCCACGGGTCCCCTGGGGGGCACAGCAGAGGTGGGGAAGGCTCATAGGCCATACCTTGTGTTCACAGGGGAGTTTGGTGAGGTGTGCAGTGGGCATCTCAAGCTTCCAGGCAAAAGAGAGATCTTTGTGGCCATCAAGACCCTCAAGTCTGGCTACACGGAGAAGCAGAGGCGGGACTTCCTGAGCGAGGCCAGCATCATGGGGCAGTTCGACCACCCCAACGTCATCCACCTGGAGGGGGTGGTCACCAAGAGCTCTCCAGTCATGATCATCACTGAGTTCATGGAGAATGGCTCACTGGACTCCTTCCTGCGGGTATGAAATCTGGGAGTGCACAGCTTTAGAGGCTGTGCTAGCACAGAGGGGATTTGGGGGGAAGGTTGCCTTTCCAGGCCTTCCCTGCCTGGCATTCCCTGTCACTGGGGCAGCCACTGCATAGCCAGAGGTCTGTGTTTTGGGAACAGAGCTGGAGGTGACAGCACCAGGGCTGTCATTTCTATTGTGTCTGTCCACTCATCCCAGCAAGAGGCTGAGCCTGCCTGCCCACAGGTACACATCCATGGACATCCCTGGAGGGACAGTCTGACACAGCTTTAACCCAGCAGGACCCCACCTCCAGCTGCTCTTCTAAATATTTCTGGTTCTGGGTTTGAAAGGAAGTAACCTGGTCAATGGGAATAAATTGTCCCTTTTGAGCTCTCCTGTGCAGGGTGGGTGCATTTTGGGGTGACAGCAGCTGCCGTAGTGGTGCCCTTGGGCTGTGTGAGGTGACTCCCAACCCCTGTGAGCTGTGCACTCCCCTCCCTTCCTGGGAGGGAATATCCTGCCATGGGTGTGGAAAGAAGGTCCTGGCTTTTGCCTGGACTGTGAATCTGCTCCTGTCACCTGTGTCCCTGTGTCCCTCAGCAAAACGACGGGCAGTTCACGGTGATCCAGCTGGTGGGAATGCTGCGGGGCATCGCCGCGGGCATGAAGTACCTGGCAGACATGAACTACGTGCACCGGGACCTGGCCGCCCGCAACATCCTGGTCAACAGCAACCTGGTGTGCAAGGTGTCCGACTTCGGCCTCTCCCGCTTCCTGGAGGACGACACCTCCGACCCCACCTACACCAGTGCTCTGGTAATGCTGCTCTTCAGCCAAGGGAGGGGCAGGGCTGAAGGAAGGAGTGGGAGAGGGAAGGAGGGACCTCCTCCTTGACATCAGGGAGCACTTTTTCAGGGTGGCAGCAGTGGAAAGATCCCAGATGAGAAAGGGCAATGAAATAAACTGAAGAACATTTTCCCTGTGGATAGCTGAGCCTTCCTCCATACATGTCTGCAAACACACACATGTCCCTGAAAAGCCCTTGGTTGGGATCATGCTCTGCACCCTCCCCGTATGATTCACCTGGGATCCTTTGAGATGTGACGCTGCCCTGACAGACTTGTTCCCAGGGCAGCAAGTCTGGGTTTCTTACCATCACTGTCCAGTCGTGCTGCCCTGCTGTCCTTCCTCATGTCATCTCACTGGCTCAGCCCCAAGAAGGACAGACTGAAAGTGTAGGAAGTGTGGGTGGGCGCCAGATACTAGATACTGATCTTTCAGAGCATATCCAATTTAAACAGAAAAACACTCCTAAAAATGACTTCATGTAACAACTTCCCAGGAAAACCTTGGTGTCATAGATGCAAGTGCCACCAAGAACTTGTGGCTCATGTCAGGCTTCAGGAGGTGCCCCAGGACCAGAGGATTATTTGGTTTTGCTCAGTGAGAGCTCAGCCAGGAGTTCTCATTAACACCACACAGAAATGCTCTGCACAGTGCATCAGGATCAATGTCCACATCAGGAATCCTTGGAAATCAGTGTTGATAGAGCTGGGGCATGACCTGTAGGAAACCACCTCTCCTGGGTCTTTTGGAGCTGGCAGTGATGAGTTGCCTGGCACAGCTCTTAGTAAATTTTATCAGTAGCTAAATACCTAACAAACACCTAAAAATGTGTGGGTTTATTCACATCTGTGTAGCTTCAAACATCAGCTCATCCATCTCACACAGCCATCAATGGTTTTAACAAACACTAATAACATTTATTTTTCATATATCCCTTATAGCCAATTAAATTTCCCTTTGTTAACTAAATACATGGTGTTTACTGCTGTTCTCTGTCCCTGGTTTTATGCCTGTAGCTTTTCTCTCTAGTAATAAATTCGTCATCCCTAATTTATTCTCCTTGAACTGTGGGCACTGTAGCAGGATATTTATTATCCATAATGACAGATTATATGCACCTACTGTATAATAAGTACCTTCCTCTGCAAATAGTTTTTATCATCATTCTCCCAGTGACCTTGTGTCCATGGGTGAGCAGAGCCACAAGTTCTGGTCTGGGAGGTTCGTGCTGGACCTTTGGAAAGTCTTTGGAGTGGTGAAGCTCCAGGTCAGACCCCACAGAGATAGGAGGTCTCACTGAAGTGAGTTCCCACTCAGAATCCTCCAAAGTCTAAATTCTTCTTTAGGACTTCTTTTTAGCCATTTTTAAAATCCACTGCTTGCCAGGAGTTCTGTCAGGAGTCTGCCTGATGGAGAGGACATCCTATTTGGTATGGATTGCTTCGTCTTCCCCTTTTGTGGAAAACAATATTTTGTCTGAGGTTTGTGGCTGCAAAAAGATTAAGAAACATTATCTTTTTTCATTATTCTGGCATGTACTGAGGCTGAGTACTAGGAAATCCTGGGAGACCCTTAATAAGACATGGCAGTTGTTCATTGACAAAGTATAATGTTTTTTAATCTTCTCACAGCCACAAAACACAGACACTTCTGCTTATTTTTTCAGCACAGGGGAAGATTTTCCCTTCAGAAGATCCCTTGGGTGACTGGCTCAAGTCCAAAACCCCTGGTAGAAAATCAGGAGGCAGGAAGGGCTTAAGCAGAGCCTTCAATCCCTGTGTCCCCATTTGTGTGTGCCACTCCTGTGCTTAACTCCTCAGTGGGAGTGGAGAACCCTGATTGCTCCAGAGCTTCCCTTGCAAGGTCCTGTCATTCCTGTGGGTAGTCGTCATCCCTGTGGATAGTCATCATCTCTGGATGACAGAGACAGCAGTGCCCACCCAGTCTTGTCCCATTTCCCACCAGTGACCCCCCCATCCCATACTGAAGGATCAGAACATGGTGGATCAGCTGTAGATCCACAGACAGACTGGGACACCAGGACTCAGGCCAGAAATGGTCTACTGCTGACTTCAAAGAAAGGAAGCTGTAGAAGGCTGAAGAGGAAGGTGATCTAATTCCCTTCATTCTGCTCTGCAGGTAGCCAGGTGATAGCAAAAGGATGGAGGGAGATCAGTTTGGGTTTGTTACATTCCTGGGCATTCACTTTCTACCAAAGACCCTGTTAGCACCCTGGGCATTTTGCCATGCCAGGAGCAGGAGGTAGGGGGAAGGAGCTGGCCTTGGTTAAGATGGTGACAAGGAGACTGAGGGGACACCTCTGGGTGACCTTCAGGGCAGTAATGAAGAGACAGAGTCAAACTCTTTGCAGTGGCACCAGATGATAAAATAAAGGGGTCGTAGACAAAAACGTGGCTGGGGAGGTTCAAGGTGAGCAACAGAAAAAGCTCTTTCCTCAGGAGGGTGTTGGGACAGGTCACAAAATGAGAAGAACCATCATCATCATTGAAGGCTTCCAGCAGAACTGGACAATTCGCATCCACCCTGAGGGACAGACAGTCCTGTGCTTCCTTCTTTCTGGGATTTTAGTAGAATATCACAGGCAAATATTGTGGACACTTCTGTTTTTCAGTTGCTCCTGCTCTCTCTGTTACCATCCCATTTTTTTCCTGCAGGGTGGGAAGATCCCGATCCGATGGACGGCACCTGAGGCCATTCAGTACCGAAAGTTCACCTCGGCCAGCGACGTGTGGAGCTATGGAATAGTCATGTGGGAGGTGATGTCCTACGGGGAGCGGCCCTACTGGGACATGACCAACCAGGATGTGAGTTCTGGGAAACCAGGGGCAGAAACACTGCAACGGGGAGCATTGCAAGGACAAAGCATGTCCACAGCCTGTCCCAGCCTCTGGCATGTCCAGAGCCTTCTCTGTTATGGCAGATGTGTCCAAGGTCAACACATTTGGAAGCAGTAATGGGAATAATCTGGGCATTTATTCTGGCCCCATGGTGCTGCTGTGGCACAGATTGGGGATGGCACAGCACCCACTGCACAGGGTTAACGGGAGCACCCCAGGGGTGTTGGCAGGTGCCGAGAAAGGGAAGGAGCAGGTGGGTAGAAAAGGAGATGTCCCTGAGTTGAGAGCCTCTGGAGCAGAGCTTCATCTGCTGGGATCACAGATACTCCAGGAAGGTCTGTTACAAAGCCACACAATGGCTTGGGTCAGAAGAGACCTTTAAAGATCATCTCCTTCCAACCCCCTGCCATGGTCAAGGACATCTGCTAGAAGGTCATTAAATCTCCTGTGGGAAGCTTGGGCTGTGGTCTGTAAGAAGCCAAGTAACTTAGACACAGCTAGAAAACAAAACCACAAGGTACTTCCTACCTTGCTCAATTTTACATATTTCATTCCTCTGCTCTAATTCAGGTCAAACAGTTACATGCACTCCTTGCTCTGGGTGTGTTTCCTGCAAGGATGGCCCCTGGCTGCACTCCCTGCCCTCAGCACAGCAATGCCATTTCCATTCTCCCCGGTCCTCTTGGTGTGGTACCTGGGGCTGAAAGCCCATCTGGCCAGTGGCAGTGAGTGCTGTGAGGATGCTTCATCTGCATGTGTGTGTCAGAAGGCCTCTTTTAACTCTGTCTCTCAGAACAGCTGCCCTTCCTCACATCATGAATGCTCAGGATGTAACACCAAGGTCCTGGGTGGACCTAGAGGATGCAGAAAGCTCGTCCTGGCTCTTGCAGTATCTGCTGGCTTCCAGTGTGTCTCAGAGCAATCTGTGGGGAGTCCCTTGGAAGCCTGCAGACATGCACTTCATCTCCACCATTCTGTGGGCTCCAAAGGCCTTGCCTTACAAGCAGAGAGTGAGGGCCAAGCTCCCTGTCCCTCCTGTCCCTCCTCCTGTCCCTATGGCAGATCAGACCTTTTCCATCTCAATAGATCTCCATCTGTGCCACATCAGGTTTCTCCAGAGTGGGACTGTTTCCTCCCTAATGCCTGGTGGGAAATTTATTAATATGAATTCTTAAGCCAGAAGCAGGGGGATGATGCCTTAGACCCTTTGGCTGTTCACAGCCTCTGCTACACCAGGAAAATGTTTCCATCAGATCTTGGAAGCAGAGGGATGGGACTTTGGGGTCTGCCTTTCTCAGCAAGGACAATTCCCTTCCTGCTAAGCCATTGTTGTCACCTCAGTTTCAAGCATGTCCTGCACCATATATTCCTGTGCCTTCCCTGTGCCTTGTCCTTCTCCTGGAGCTCTTCCCTAGATGGTTTCTCCTGCCATGGCTGCGCGGCTGCGGCAGCACCGATCGCTGTGCTGGGGATGGCAGAGCTGTGCCGGTCCCTGGCACCTCCCGCTGCGCGTCGCTGTCCCCAGCCCCGGCTCCCCTTCCATGCCGCAGGACACGGTGCTCCAGAAGCTGTCACCACTTAAGCACAGCTGGTCCTGCTGTGGAGGAGCGTGGCGGATATTGAGGGCAGATTACCCTCCTGACCCTGGGGTGTGAGCGCCTGGGGCGGCGGCTGGGAGAGGACATGGAGAGAGCTGGGGCTGCCTCTGGGATGTGGATGATGGCAGCGGGACTCCCTGGGAACAGAGAGGAGTGCTTGCTGCTTGCGTGGAGCTGGTGCCACCCTGTGCCTCCCCTGGCACTGGCCTGGGCAGACCTGAACCCAGGGAGCTGGGCTGGGGCTCAGCACCCCTTGGGAGGTTACCTGAGCTGCATAAAGCACATCAGTAGCTATGGAATCCTTGAGGCTGGAAAAGGCTCTGAGATCGTTGAGTCCAGCCATCAGCGTAGCACTGCTGTGTTCACCCTAAACATGTCCCCAAATGCCACATCCACACACCTTTTGAAGCCTTAAAGGATGGTGACTCCACCTCTTCCCTGCACACCTTGTTTCAGTGCTTGACAATTCTTTCCCTACCATCCAATCCAAACGTTCCCTGGTACAACTTGAGGCCATTTACTCTAGTCCTGGCACTTGTTACCTGGGAGAAGAGACCAACACTCCCCGGCTCCACTCTCCTGTCAGTGATTTGTAGAGGAGTTACCTCAGGTCAGACCTTCACAGGCCCAATGCGGTCACCACCATGTCCAGCCAGGGCAGCAGAACTGGGTTCTTCCATCTGGCAAATTTTGGCGGCAGCAGTGCCAGCCCCATGTCTCAGGTCAGCCTTCCCAGCACCTTGGCCACACACAACAGTGCCTCCAGCACTCCTAATCCATTCTCTGCCTAGAGCCACAGACCATCTCAAACCCTGCCAGATGCCCCATCTCACACTCTGAATTGTTTGGCATGGATCAGCCACCAGCTCTTCCCTGCTTCTCTCCCATTCCCATACCCATTCCCATTCGCACTCCCATTCCCATTCCAGTGTCTTTAATTTTCTCTGTGTAGTCTCCCTACTCAACAATATGTCTACCACCATAAGTATGTCTGGACTTCCGCAGGATGGGGACACAGCTGTAGGGAATCCCACCAGGAAGATCTCTGTCTTTGGAATTGTGCAAGACATGGCTGGACAAAGCCATGGCAGCCTTGATCCCATGGTGAGAATAGCCAGAGACATGGAGGTTCTTCTTCAGGATCCCTGAGGGAGGTTGTGGCACTCTTCCTTCCCTTGTCCATCATTCCTATGGAGAATTCAACATTTCGAGATCTGCTCCTGATTTCTGCAGTATCCTCAGTTCTGGTTTTTGTCCTTACTTCTGGGTTTTTGTTGCTACGCACGAGCTCATCTCTGGTGTTCAAGGCTCCTTCTGCTCATCCTTCAGTGCCTTTGCTGTGCATGGTCAAGGAGGCAAGAGAATCCTGCCTGTACATGCCTCTGTCAGAGGAACAGATGTTCCTGGAAGAAGTGGAGCCGCTTCACCCTCATTTGTCACCCAAGAGAGGATTGAGGGCTGCAGGTGCAGAGTGGCAGGGAGGTGGAGTTTCCCTTGAAGAAGATCCTCCAGCCCTTGTTCCATTCCAGAAGATCCTCCAGCCCTTGTTACATTCCAGAAGATCCTCCAGTCCTTGCTCCAGCCCTTGTGGACATTGCAAGACCAGACATTTTCCCAGAGTGTGTGGAGCAATAAGGAGAGACCAAAGCCTTTTTGGATGAGCCTGGAGGTGCAATGTGACTTTGGCAAGGTGTGCTGCAGCTCTTCTGTGCACACTGCAACCAGGTTTTCCTGGGCTCTGCTGACTGGGGTCTGAGTCCTCCCCATGGTGTTTTGCATTTGCACAGGCCTGCAGAAAGATCCATTTGTTTCTGCTGACTGAGCCACCCACGCCATGGCACGACCCTGTCACCTGGACGAGCTGGTTTGTGTCAGGAGCACAAAGCACCACTGCGGGATGCAAACACAGGGACAGGCTCCCTGTCTGTAGCTCACTCCCCTTCTCTGGATGGTGATGTTTTCTCAGCAAGCTGTTGTGCTGTGTGCAAGGGAAGCATGATCCCTTCTCTCTGACTCCCCTGCCTGCAGCTGTGGGATCACACATCCTGTCAGGGCAATAGGGGTGCTCCTTTCCCCAGATCAGGAGGCTGCTCCTGACAATCAGCCACCCAGGCCGGATGGCTGAGCAAAGCTGGTGGCACCTCCCAGGACACCTCACAGCTCACCTGACCTGCTGGGGTCTGGACATTGCAGTGTGAGGTGGGGACAAGATGGGAAGACAGCAGTGAGTACAGGTTGCAGGATCAGTCATGTCAGTCACCCTCAGGATCCCAGAAAAGGCACATTATGAATGAAATAGGTTTTATCACAGCTGCACTGATGCCTCTTTCTGTTTCTGCAGGTGATAAATGCCATTGAGCAGGACTATCGGCTGCCACCACCCATGGACTGCCCAAATGCCCTTCACCAGCTGATGCTTGACTGTTGGCAGAAAGATCGGAACCACAGGCCCAAGTTTGGGCAAATTGTCAACACCTTGGATAAAATGATCCGAAATCCAAACAGCCTGAAAGCCATGGCACCTCTGTCCTCTGGGTATGTGTCTCTTTGGCTCCTCTGAACATGTCTGGTATCGTCTGAGTCCTGCTGGACCATCCCTGCACCTCTCAGAACTACTTTAGAGCTTGGCCTGTGTTTGATCCTTTATAGGGAGAGCATTAAAAGATCACAGAATTACAACTCGGGGTGGAAGAGACCTTAAAGCCCATCTCGTTCAACCCTTGCCATGGGCAGGGACAGCTTCCACTATCCCAGGTTGCTGCAAGCCCCATCCAGCCTGGCCTTGGACACTTCCAGGCTTGGGGCATCCACAGAGCAGGGATACAGGTGTCAAGGTCCCTCTTATTGGGCAGCTCTAGTGAGCACAGGCAGCTCTTGGACAGTGCACTCTGCACATAGAGGATCACCTTGGTTTCATGTGCATGGGGATGCTGGGGTGGTGGGATTGTTCTGGTAATCCAGTCCCACTGCACTGGAAGCAGATAAAGCCTCGTGAGGCAGTGTGGAGTTTTCCTGGTCTGGGTGGGTTGCACTAGCTTGTGGGAAGCACTGCTCCTATATGAGAATGAGCTTTCTCCCCATGGGCAGCCAGGATTTAAAGCAGCATCCCATCATCTCTGATGGCTCCTGCCTCTCCTGCAGGAACTGATCCAGAAGGGCTTCCCTGATACTCTGCACAGTCCTTCCCTTGGCAGAACAGTGATTTGTGGGTGGAATTCCACACTACATGGCACTATATGCACTGTGAATGATGTGCCTCCAGCTGCTGGAGGGTGCAGGAACAGTCATCCTTGCAGCTCTTGGTCTGTCACTGCCCATTTCTGTGTTTCAGGATGAACCTCCCCCTCCTTGACCGCACAATCCCGGATTACACCAGCTTCAACACTGTGGATGAATGGCTGGATGCCATCAAGATGAGCCAGTACAAGGAGAGCTTTGCCAGTGCTGGTTTCACCACCTTTGATGTAGTATCTCAGATGACTGTAGAGTAAGTGCCCAAGCTTTGAGTCCCAAAGCACAAGGAAAAGTCCCAGCAGTTTTGCAACAATTGGTATTGAATTAAATTTTATTTTCATGTGATGTAGTTTTACTTTTATAGAATTGTTGCTTTATGGAGCCACTTCTAATCTAGTCATTCTCTAGACCATGTGTCTCTCACTCTGCAGAATTCCTCTCCCCATTACCACTCTGTGAAAATGAACACCCCTGCCAAGGGTGTCCAAACTCTCCACAGGACAAACTGAGATTTCAGGCTGGAATCAGACAATTCTCCAGAGCACTTCTGAACTCTGCAGTCCTCTTGGATGGCTGATGTGTTGACGGACACAAGCATGGTGCAAAGATCTGCCTAAGAAAGGTGGAATAACAGAGTGGTTACAGTTGAAAGGGACCACTGGAGGTCATCCAGTCCAACCTTCCTGCTCAGCTTCTAGAGCTCCTCACTCAGGATTATGTCTGTGGAAAGAGATTTCACACCCTTTCAGGGCATTGATTTCTTCCCATTGCCTCTCATCCTGTTGCTCTGCCACACGTAGCAGAGCCTGGCTCCAGCCTCTGCCATGTCCCCTCACACACCTCGATAAGATCCCCTTCTGAGGGGTGGTTTCAAGTTTGTGCTGCATCCACTAAAAATGTCCTGCATCTACAAAAATTATCCTGCAGTGTCAATTGACAAGTGACAATCAGCATCTGATTCTTAGCAAGTTCTTTAGAGAAATCAGGCAGCTGAAATCCCACTTCTGGAGGGTTTTGAAATCCTTTGGGGCTGGCTGGGACTTTGATGTCTCTGCTGAAAGATTTGTGGCTGGCTGCAGGTGTCTGTAGAAACCTTCAGAAAGGGCCAAGCATTAGAGCCATCTGTAAGGGCTGCAGTGTCTCTGAGCCTGGTGGCCAGGGAGGTTGTTGGATTTGTGCTTAAATACAGATCTGAAATCTATCAGTGAGTCAGAATCCATTCTCTCAAACAGCCACTGTGACTTTCTTTCGCTTTCCCATGGCAGTTCTGGCTATTTTGGGACATCTGTAGTGCAATTCCAAGGCCCTGGGGACAATTTTGGCACAGTAATGTCTGGGTTTATACAACAGAAAGAGAGAGAGTCCACTGAAGGAGATCTTCTGAAGGGTAGGGAGGAACTTTGACCAAAGGGAGGTATCAGACCACAACCCACCCCCACCTGGGTTCTGCTGTTTGCAATATCTGGCAGCAGGCAGGATGCAGACAATCCAGCTAATGCTGGCTGTTCTTTCACAGACATCCTGTGTCCCTTAAATGCCAATTCTCCCAGTTCCTTACCGTGTCCCTCAAGTCCTCTCCAAGAGCCTTCACCACAATTCCAAGGGCATCCTCAGCTCATGTCCCACTAGTTTTGGCAAACTTCCACATTCCTCACCTGCTTGGCTGAATGTACAATAGAGATGACAGTCCAAGTCCTTTTTCCTTGGAAAATTGTGGTGTAACAGGACTTGACACCACCTGCTGATGTTCACTAGCCTTTGCAGAAGCTGATAGGAATGTCAGTGGAGGTGCTGATTCATCCAGATTTGGAAAGCCAGCAAAGTGTGAATGTTTCCTGAAAACTGACTCACTTCCCCAAATTCACATGGTCTCAACACTGACCTACTGGAAAAGATTTTCACTGGTTTGTCTGGACACTTGGGACACCGAATTATCTTTCAAGAGTCACGGAACCATTTGAGTTGGAAGGGACCTTAAAGCTCATCTTAAAGCCGTGGGCTTTAAGACTCTTTCCACTGTCCCAGCTTGCTCCAAGCCCCATCCAGCCTGGTCTTGGACACTTCCAGGGAAGGGCCAGCCACAGCTTCTCTGGGCAGCCTGAGCCAGGGCCTCACCACCCTCTGAGCAAAGACTTCCTTCCCAATATCCAATGAAATATTTAATGTCCAGGGCAGAAGGCTTGGAATCACAGGGTTGTGCAGAGCCACAGTCTTATTCTGGTTTACAGACACAAGTGAAGAATTTTTTGCACCCTTTGGAGCTCCTCTTTACCCTTCTGTGCCCAATAACCTCCACTCTAAACATGTCAAAGATTTTGCCACTCTTCCCCTTAAGTGTCTGTTCTTAACACTCAAGGACAAAAAGCACCTGAAATTCCTCCAAGTCAGGTTTGGGTCATGTGGCCTCCCATCTCCTGATGGGAAGAAGAAGAAGAAGACGAAGATCTGAAGATTTCATGACTGAGGTTTATTCGCCAAGGGGGAGATGAGAGAAACTCAGCTGGAAACACAGATAGGACCAATTTAGAGCCACACTCATGCTCTCGGCAGGACTTTGATTTCTCTCAGATGTCTAAATCTATAAAAAATAGAAGCTGTCCAAAAATGAGATTGCCATGATTTAACAAAAGGATAAGTGCAAAAATTGATCACTTCATGGTCTTATCAGCTCAAAGGAAAAGCATAAAAAACAGCATCATCTGCATATGAGGGTCAGATCTGCAGTTAGGAGGGGCAGCACATCCCTGTCCTATGTCTCCAGGGGTAGAAAAAATGGGTTAGTGTGTCACAAAATGAAAGAAAATCCAAAAGAGTACATGGGTAAAAAATATAAGACAAATTGACTCACAAGCAGAGAGCAGAGCCTGTGGCATTTTGTTTCACACTCTCTGTTGAGGTTCAGGACTCTGAGGGTGCTGCAGGTAAGTAGAAAGCGCAAAGAATGGACAGTAAGCAGGAAAAAGTGAAAGAGGAGAGGTTTCACAAGGTTTGCATCTTGTTTGTTGCATTCATGAAGAAATCTGTGGATACTTCAGCCCTCTAAATACTGTTCTATGGACTCATAGAATCAAGGAATCATAGAATCACAGAATCACGGAATGGTTTGGGTTGAAAGGGACCTTAAAGATAATTTTAAATACCATCTATGATCTTGTTCTGCTGTGAGAAAATACCTCCTGATATTTGTGTTTGTTTCCTTTCCTCCCAAAGGGACATTCTGCGAGTCGGGGTCACTTTAGCAGGACACCAGAAGAAAATTCTGAACAGTATCCAGGTGATGAGAGCACAGATGAACCAAATCCAGTCTGTGGAGGTTTGATAGCTGCCTGTCCTCCCACTCCTCCTCCTCGAGGCCCTGCTCCCCTTTGCCCCTGTATGTCCTAGCTCCAGTTCCTGAGTGTTCTGCATGGACCAGAGACAGGCAGCTGCTCTGAGGATCACGGCAGCAGGAGGGAACACCCTGTCCTCAACAATGAGAAGTTGCCAAGACCTTCTAGAATTTAAGCAATGGAAAAAGGGAACAAAAAAAAAAAGACAACTATTTTGAAAAAAAAAATAACAAACTACAAAATATTTTTAAATAATAAAAAAGCAATTGCATTCTTGAAAAGGGCTCCAAGACCAATGGGAGTCTCCAAAGGAAGAGAAAAGAGCAGCTTCATGTTTCCTCTTGCACAAGGCTGCTGCAGCTGGACCCAGGCACCTCTGGAGCAGTGGGACTTCTCCAGGAAGAGGAATGCAAGGAAAGGCCACGAGAAGCACATCTCTTCCTCCCGTGGGCTCTGGGAATGCCAAGAGCCAGGCCCTTCCCCAGAGCCCCTGCGAGCAGATCAGACAGGGAGAGCTGAAGCTCTTTGGTGCTGTGAAACCAAGTGCATCTCAGAAACTGATGGACTCCTTCAAAAGCTGAAGACTTTTTTTTTTTAAAAAAAAAACAAAACAAAAACACAACAAATAAACTAAGACTAGAGGAGGCTGTTTCCGACAAATGAGAAGGAATCTGTAACGCCTGGGGGGGTGGGGATGGGGAAAACCAATCCTTTTTACATCTCTTATTTTCTCTTGTCATGGAACAGTTTTGTGAGTGACAGTTTCCTAAGGGTCCGTCCATCCACCCTCCAATGGCATCGTGTCTCATACATATCATTGCTCAAGACTTTTAGTGATATCCTTTCTAGATGCCAATGATCTTTTCCCAGAAGACTTCCCAAGTACAGTATGTAGTAGTTTTTGATTACAAATGCTGACGTGTACCTTTATTTTTTGGTTGTCATTGTTGGGAGATTTGTCCTTTTACATTGTTTTGTTAACATCAGTTTGTGAGTTTGGGGTTGGAAATTTTCGGTTGGTTGGGGGTTTGGTTTTTTTTTTAATGAAAAAGAAATGACATCTCCAAGCATCATATCATCCAAGAATTTAAATCCCTTCCCTGTGGAAGAAAAAATTGCAGCTTATTGACCATATGCCAGGAGAAAAAGGTTTTTTTATATGCACATTTCCTCCTGTTTGCTTATTTGTTCTTTCCAATTGGTCGTGGCACAACAGATGTTTGTGGCTGTTGGGGTTCCAGGTGTTTGCCAAAGCGAAATGGCCACCAGCTCAACTCGGGTGAGCAGCATCACAGGGGGGTTGGGAAGGAAATGTGGGAGGATGGAGGGGTTGTGAGGGAATGATGACTCCACAGCTGGCTTCAGAGCCCTTTGGAAGTGTCTGGCTGCTGAGGAAGGTGCTGGATTGGTGCATGGGAAAGGCAGGGCAAGCCCAGTCCTCTCAGAGGAGCTCATGGCACAGCATTTTGGAGTGGGGATTGTGTTATCTCCAGGTGAGGATGGGTCCCTGCAGGTGCCAGGCTGTGCAGGTGGGCTCTGTGCCTTGGGGACCCTGTCCCTTCGTTGGGTGATGCAGCTTCAGGCTCAGCCCCTCACATCAAAGAGAGCCTGGGACAGCAAAAACTCCAATCCCAGCTCTCCAGAGGCAAAGTGCTGTGGGTGAAGCTGAATGATCAATCAATGGGTTTGCAAATAACTGAAAAAAAAAAAATTCTTTAGTTACTGACCAGGTCTTTGGGACGTGTGAATGCCACCAGCTGAGCGCAGGGAGATGCAGATGAGAATCAGGTTGTTCTCCGTGCCCAACACCGCCTTGCATCCTTTGAAGCATTCCACACGTGGCATTTTCCCACCCATCTCCTGGTCACGGCCTCAGGACTGGTGTTTACAAGCCCTTGTCTGCCACTGCCATGTCATTCCTGGGCTCCTCCTCTTGTTTTTGGCATCGAGGAGTTGAAGTTCACTGGGAGCTGCCTGGCTGTATTTTCCAGGAACTGAATCCAAGAGGAAGTGTGTCTGCTGTGAATGAAAATCCCAAGCTGTCTAGACCTCTGTGGCCAGACATCATCTCCCCAGACTGCTTGTAAAATATGAGGCCCTTTATTAAATATTTCTAGCATTTCCTACTGCCAGACCAGATCCAACAACAAAGCCCTTGCGAGTGGCACCAGAGCAGTCCCTACAAGTGAGACTTCTCTCCTGAGCCCTTGTCCTGTCCCAGGTTTGGTGCTCCAGCAGCAGGGGCTTTTCAATTGTCCCTCCAGCCCCTGTTAATCCAAAATCTCTAGTGCAGTGTTGTGTTTATGTTTGCATCCAGCCCAGCCCTGGGTTTGCAGCTCTGGGCTTGTCTGTAGTGATGGGAACCCGGCAGGAGGTGTGTGCTGGGTGCCAGGGTCCTGTCCTGAGCTCAGTGCCCACAGGGACAGCCCCAGAGTGGCGTGGAGCAAGGGGCAGTGGGCTGTAGGCATGGGGTGTGCAGGTGGGACCTGGATGGGCAGCTCTGCCCTAAATCCAGCCTGGTTTAGCCTTTGTATCCAAAGGGATACTTGGAATGCCTTTGCATCCAAAAAGCACTTGCTCCTGGTCAGGTGATGGGCTCAGCTTTGAAAGGACATAAAAAATCACTGAAGTTGACTAAACCACAGGAAGTGTTTGCAGAGGGCACACGGGGAAAGCAGGAGCTCCCAGGTGTGCCCAGTCCCAGTGTGGTGTGGGAGCCTCCCCTGGGGGGTCTGTCCCACATTGTCGCTGCTGTGCTTTGACAAGGAGCAGTTGTCACTGTGCCCCAAAGGCGTGTGAAGCTCTCTGATGGCAGTGCAGGGTGAGGACAGGATGGTGCTGTGCCAATGCCCAGCCACAGCCAGGAATGACCTCGTGCCCCAGAGCTCTGCCAGGAGAGCTCTGCCTACAAAACTCACCAGCAGATTCCTGTGGGGCAGTCATGTGGAAGGAGCACGTGATGCCCCTCACTTGTCCTCCCCAGACAATTCCTGACTGTTCTCTGCCACCCCCTACATTGCTGCAGACACTAAGGAGGAGCAATGTCCAGGCAGCATCCTACAGAGGCACCCAGGCCTTAGAAGGGCACTGGAGGTCTTCTTCATTTGGAGACATTTTGTCTCAATGCACTGAATCTCCTCGCTGGCTGCTTCAGACACATCTACCTGCCAGACCCAGCTCACTGTGAAGGACAGGTCCCAGTGCCACAGCCCCCAGAGCTGTGGCAGCCATCTGCAGGACAGAGAAAGCACATCCTTGTCTCTTCTTCTGACCAAAAATCACATGGTGGTGGTGGTACTGAAAGTAACACCTTCCCATCTGTTTACCCCAGACATGGCTATGACATCTGTGTTTTGCTGTGTAGGACTAATGGAGAGCTGGACTAAAATAGGCATGGTCCAGAAAACACTGCAGTTTTCTGCATCCTTCAGCTCTCCTGGGAGCACAAGGAACCGAGTTCCTGTCAAGTGCTTAGGTAGTAAACGCCTCTGGCACGTGCTGCAGGGAGAGGGCAGAGGCACTGGAGTGACAATAACACATTTATTTCATGGGTCTCCAATGTATTGCTATGAAATGGGAGTCTAATGGAAAACTCAGCGTGTTCCAAGGGGAAAAGGCCCTTGCTAACATTGACACTGTGAAATGCTGTTGTGCATGTGCATGTGTGCATGTGTGGGTACGTAACAAAAATCATCACATGGAGATTTTCAGGCAGTTGCAATTTTGTTGCAATTTTCACATTTCCCCTCTACCTTGCAATCTACCTCCCAGCCCTTCCCTTCTCTCCTTCCCATCTCCTGCTGAGGATCAGCCTGTGGAGGGCATTCAGTGGGAATGCTGAGCAGGTTGGAAGTTCTCAGTGATAAGTTCAAATCTTGCAGAGCATCACAGGGCAGAGCAGAGGAAGCAAAGTATATGTGGACAGTAAAAAGTTAAAATATGTTTTGTGGAATTACAGCCCAAGGGTGTGAAAGAGAAAGGAAAAACAGCCCTGTAAGACACAGCACTGCCATAAGGAATCACTTGTCCTAGTGGCTGTGGGTTCTCAAAACAGGGCACTGTGAGCTGCACATCCCCTCCCTAAAGGATCTGCTCTCCTCCCCAGTAAGCCCTCAGAACTGCTTTTCATGAATTAGTGGGGATTTGTGCTTTTCAGCTGAGGAGCTTCTCCTCTCCATAACAGCCTCAGTGCCGAGCAGCAGCTCCCAAAGGCAGCAGTCCGTGTTGGGGCTTCCATGTGGCCCAGATAAACGTGGCTGTCCCAGGGTTTCCACTGCTGCAGGGCTCCTTTAGTGCTGTAATGCCAGGGTGGACTGGGATCCACCCCATGGCTTCACTGCAGTTGTACAGCAGGGTCAGCTCATGGTGAGGGAGAGCCACGCGCAGGGCAGGGCCTGGAGGACCTGGGGCCATGGCAGAACTTCATCCTTGTGAGCTCTGCCTTGCAAGAGCAGCCACACAGGGACTGCTGGCTCCTGATAGCCCTTTCCCCAAAGCAGGATCCTGCTCTCTCCACTGGCTAATGAGCACTACCCAGAGCATCTCCCTCCTGGCCTGAGCTGAGCTGAGCTGAGCTGAGCTGAGCTGAGCTGAGGGACCTTCATCAACATCAGCTGCTGGCTGGACTACAGGGCTTTTCCCACACTCCCTGAAGCTGTTCTTGGAATTTGGGTTAAAGGAAAGGTTCTTTCCCAGGAATCCTCACCCAGGCTGTGGATTAGCAGTGGCCTGTAGAGAGAACCTCTTGGAGGGTTTGAGCAGCTGAGGAAACTTCTTGTTATATTTGCCAGGCTGATTTATATGAATCCTGGAGTCAGGGCTTGAACTCTGCTGCATCGTTAACAGTTGTATCCTCTGATGATGCAATAAATCTGGGACTGCCTTGGATGTACAACAGAGTGCTGGAAGTGTCACTGCTGTCTGGTTTGGTTTAGTGGAGTTTATTGTTTTAATGTAAATCATCTTCTTTCCTGCATGTCTAACTCGAGGCTAATTTAATGTAGGTCTTTTTCCATCCTCAAAAATGTTCCATATTTGCAAGTTCTTCACATACAGGATTCAACTTTTTTTTATCTACAGTCACGTTTTGGCCTTTTTTATTTAAACTTGTTCAGGACGTCTTTGCTTCTTGTAATTCTTTGCCCTTCCCAGGACACAACCTGGCCTGTGTTTGCTTCCATATGTGTTCCAAT